TGAAGAAATAGAAGAAAAACAACAGCGAGTGCTCTAGTGGGGAGTGCTCGACTAGCAGATATCCTTAACATGGCTTAGAGCTGTTGCCACAGTACTGCCAAGTTCCTTGTTCTAGCCTTGATGAGTCTTAAGCTGTATTTGAGATCCAAGTCGAGTTATTGATATTTATCGATATATTTCTGTTTATTAAGTCTGTCCGGCATCTGCTTTCTTTTGCCTGCCAATTAATATACCCTGCATACGCATTCCCTCTGTACAGGGTATTGTAAAATAGGAAAACACGCACATTCGTCAGTCAGTTAAAGTAAGTAAAATGCCCACATCGAGTCCAAATTGTTGCAAACGAGTTGTGCGTGCGATTGAGTGGGACAGATGCACAAGTATATATAGGTATACATATATCTGTACATTATACTGATACAAATATATACTTATTTATGTATGTGCGCGCACCACGTAAGCCACTCAGTTTGAGTGTGTGCATACAAATAATAATTTGTAATGCAAGCGGATCAAGTTAATATTTGGTGCATTAAATCGTTTCGCCATACAATTACCATTGTGGCATATGCATAATTGTTGAGCTCAGATATATTTAATAATTTAACAATAAATTCATTCTTGTTTGCATAATTGATAAAATGCCAATAATATAGGGACTACAATCGAAGTGCTTTTTGCTGTAGTGTAAAACATTATATGGCAATAAATGAATTTGGTAAGCCGAAATGTTTAATCTGCTTAATTAGCAATTTGCAATTTATTATGTATAAGTAAACGAATGCATTTTTTATTTGGTAATACTTCAACTTTTATTTGGTAATGCGCTGTTAGCCAAAGTTTAAGCTGGTCCATAATCATTTAAAAATTTATTTGGGTTTGTCTTCTTTACATTTTTTATGAACCTTTTTTTTTGGCATTTGTCTTAAAATTTGAGTTATCTTTTATATGTTTAAGCGGAATATATTAATTGAAAAGTTGTTTGTTATAAATTTAATAAACACATAATTGTAGGCCTTAATTAGCTCTTAATCGCTTCTTAAAGCAATCGACCTTTAAGCACATACAACGATGACCTATTTAAATTTAAAGCTATTTGCATTCGGCTTGTTTGGCCAGAGTTTTATGATCTCAAAAATTATCATGACATCAAATCTGAATGTTTAGCGCTTAAAGCGAAATACTTTATGCAGCCAAATGGCAATTTGTCCGCCATTCAAGCATTAAATTTATATATCTTAATTTGTTTAAAGCATTTGGTGCTTTTGCTGCTGCTGTTGCTGTGGCTCGTTGCTCGCTGATAAATTTGGCCAATAAATTCCTATTCAATTCCATTTTTCATGGCTCTTTAAATCGAAATCCGTGCAATTTGCAAAAACCATTTGGTATTCGGCATTTGTTGCCTTTCGCCTGTTGCAGCTGTGAAAGCGAAATTGAATTCCATTTCGGGTCCTTCACCTGCAGTGCCATTGTCTCTCCCACTAATTTGCAGTGCTATATGTATGCGCGTAAACTTAGTTTTATTTTCCCGTATAATTCCATTTTAATGGTTCGCAACTGCGCTGAGGAATCGTTAAAGCAATTGACGCTGCGGGACTGCCACATTATGTGCCATGTATGTACATAGATATGTATGTATGTATGTATGAATATGCCAGCAGCTGCCTGATAACAGGCAGGAGACAGGAGACAAGAGACAAAAAATGCTTATGGTTATAGACCAATAAAAACAGTAAGCTCATTGTGGGAGAGCATGAGAGAATAACTGACTGCAGGATACTTTATCGTGCTGTAAATATAGACAAGGCTGGGAGAAATGGGCGGCGTATTTGAGGCAAGAACACTCAAATAAATAAAGCACTCGATATTAAGCTAATAATAAAGTGTAGTATTGCATTTATTTGTAACTCTGCCTGCATGAGAAGAGTCGAAGAGGAAGTCAAACTGGAAGCCGGACGTTGCAAACAATCAATATACCCGCTTTCACTTTGTCAATGAGCATCAGCGCACACACGCACACAGCATGTCAGCTTCCATGTATGCGTGTGCGTAACGGAACATTAATTAACAGCAGAACAGCTAATGGCGGCTGCAAAAAAAAAAAAAGAAATGAAAAAGAAAAATAAAGAAAATCCGTATGGCGTTTATCTAAAGCTCACACTTGGCGCCATTTAGCTCAAGTGTGTAAGTGTGTGAGTGCGTGTGTATGTGTGTGTCTATTCCATTTCCCTTGGCATTTACCGCCGGAAGTTGCCTTTGGGCGAAAATACAGGAAAAAAAGAAAGAAGACAAACAAACTTTGCACTCTCAGTTGGCAACAAACTGTGGAAAAAACTAATTAAATAAGTTATTGTTTTTCTTGAAGAACTATTCTCATGAATTATATCGTATGTAAATAACAGAGAAATACAAGAAAACCAAAGAGCAGAGATAATTAAATGTCTGCTCAATTGATGTATTAAATTGTTTAATGGTCTTCATTTACAAGTTTTAAAATGGCTCAAGAACTACGTAGACAAACATAAAATATGAAGTATACATTGTTTATATACTTAACCAGGATCCGTAGTTGCAGTCCTGCTGAACTGTCCGCCTATTCGATAATCATAAACACACTTAATTTGGCTTGCAGTTTCTTAAGACTGTGAGGCTACAATCTCCAAGCCTAGTATTAAGTATCTCCTAGTCGGATATTTTCTTGGCTCTTTACATTTCTGTATAGAAACGTAAATGTGTCATATTCCCTTAACTCTATTTAGACCTTTGCTTATTTGTTTGTTTATCCGCTTTAGTGTGACGCTGTACTTGTCGTGTCTGGCTTATCATAGTGTCATAATCGCATTATTAACATCCTATTAAATCTCAATTTTTTGCGCTTTAGGCTAAATATTTTATGCAGCGATAAGGCAGTTTAAGTGCCATGAAATATTTCAATTTTTTACAATTTAATTAAACCACTTTTTTAATGCGTGTTTCTGTGTTTTTTTCCTCTTTCATTTTCAAGTGTTGACAAACGTTGATTTGCAAGAGATGCAAAAAATATTTACGCTTTTTTTATGGTCAGCAGTGGACTTTAATATGTCATTTCAGTTTTATGTTGAATTGCGTTCACGGTGATTGATGATCAAATATATGAATATACATTAATGCCCTGCAGTCAATAGTCAAAGGAAATAATATTTTTGATTGGGGTGAGTTGAGTCAATGTAGCCAAATCTGTCTAAAGGAAAATGTCTAGAGTGAGGGCATCTTCTAGTCGAGCAGTCCTGCTCAAACGACATATTTACGAGCCCATTTGTGCTTTGGGCCATTTCGGCAAATTGGTTCAAAAACTGTTGAATAAATAATCATATTTTGTGTTCTTAGCGCAGGCAAAAAGTTGTTTTTCATGAAGTTTGTGTGATGTGTGATGGCGGTTGTCTGCTGTCTGCTGTCTACGGCTGTTGGCTGTTGGCTGTTGGCTATGGCTGTCTGTTGTCTTGTGTCTGGTATATCCATCAAAATCAAATAATTGACAACTGCCAGCAACAATAACAACAAATATTTTGAAGCAAACTTTTTGCTCGTGCAGCTGCTTGCAGTGAGAAAACATGTGAAACAAAATCTGAATTACTATTGCGAAAGGCCGAACAGGATTTAAATGTGAGCCGAAGCTGGAGTCGAACCCATTAGCCACAAGCAAACACCTTCGTTGACATGGCTGAACATTGGGGCGAGACATTTGATTTGCCAACTCGCTGACTTGACTGATTTACGATGTCGCAAATATGTTTATCAACTAAATATATATATATATATGTATGTATATATCTCTCAGATGTATATACAAATGTGTGTGCGTGGCAAAAGTTGTATCTATATCGTTAGCCAATTAACTGCTACGCCCAGCTACTCAGCGTGCGACAGGTGTTGGCTCCGTTTCCACTATGTCCTCAAGCAAAAGTCTCTCAGCTACAGCAATCTTTGGGCTTAAACCAAATTTAGTGTGAAATGTAAGCGTATTTGAGCTTCGCACTTTTGCCTCGCCGCGCATTAGTTTTTCAATCAATTATCGCTTGAATTATGTTGGCCTGTTTGACCAGCTTAGCTGCTGCTGCTGCTGCTGCATTAATGTTGGCTTTAAACGCGCTCTGTGGCATTTCAAAATTGATGCGAGCTGCATTGTAGCATAAAGTATGAAGTTTACAGTCGTTCCATTCAGCTGCACAATTTCGTAATTTTGTGGCATCTGCCCGAGCAAGATGCAAATCATGATTCTAATGAGCCCCGTTTCAGCATCTTTCACCTGTCGCACTGCTGGCAATGTACACAAACCACACAGAGTCAAATGTCGATTGCCACAGCTGAACTCCACGCTTATTTGGCCACACAAACGAAGATTATTGAAACCGACATGGATACAGATACGGCTATAGAAAAACTTCTATCCTTCTATAGGATTCGATAGACTAATTGCCTACCCACAGAGCGCACGGCGAGACTGTTTTCCTATGCCTTTTTGGCATAGCACACAAATGGTGGGTATCTCTGACCCCATAAACTAAAGCATACTGAACTCTAAATGTATATTCGTATATCAGTACGTATGTATATGTATATCTACTGCTTTTGCACTAGTGTACTTTACTTTTTCCTGAATTTGATAATTTTCGGTCTTCCTTTTACAGTTGCTCTACTTAAAGTTTTCTTAAAGTAATTGTAAGTCCTATAACACTTCGAACTATTCAAAGGTGTTCAACTTATTGGGTATCTGTCGGTCGAGCAATTGAGACTCCTTTGTTCTTTTGATTTGGCCAAATCAAGTTTCGTTTTGGGTTATTGAGTCCGATGATTGCGTCCCTTGTGGCTAGGCAGACTCGCTTTGTTATGTTGTGATACGCTGTTAATTTGGGCTAATGTGTCTGGCAAATGCAGAGCTTATTAGCTTAATTAAGATACTTGTGGTTGAATTGATTTCCAATTTAATTCTCTTCTCCTCCTCCCTCTTGTTCTCCTTGCAGAGCAGCATGCTGTAAGTGGCCAGCAGAAATAGACTTTAACAATGCAGGAGACAAACATGGCCCAGAGACAGCTGGACGAGAGCGTCTCGCTGAATGAGACGCTGCTCAAGGACTTGGAGATCACGCGTGACGACATTCAGGACTTTGTAAAGCTGCTCTTCGACTTCCAGAAGAAGAATCAAACGCAACAGGACGAATGCCAAGGCTACTGTCAAGGCGAAATCTACAGCTGGCTGCGTGCGTACAATGGCATCCACGGCTACGTCTCGCTATTGGTGAGTAGACCCACTCCCAGTCCCACTTCCCGTCCCAGCCCCAGTCCAGTTCCCTCTCATTAGCAACAACAAACAAGACTGGGAACTAATTATCTTGGTGTTGCCCTGTCGCGTGCCACAACATTTTTCATTTTGAATACTTTTCCCCCTTTGCGCTCTGTCACAATGTCAACCCTTTTAAGCGGCTAGCCGAGAAGGTCCTTTTTCTTTGTCCGCCGTTGATGAATTCGCGCACCTTTGAACTTATCCAAATTTCCATTTATTTTTTGCTCTGACCACAGATTAAATGAATTTCTCTGTGTTTACATTATTCATAAAATGTGTTTTTTTTTTTTTCATTTATATTTTTTGTTTAGACGTCCTAGACAAAAAGCCAGCTGCATGTTGCGAATGCTAAGTTGGTAGTTAAAAAAGGCTTTGAATCGAGGGGCTAGAAAAGTTCACATTGAAGTTGCCAAAGAGAATTTTATTTGGCACGAATTAATGGGCTGATTTATAGTTCTATTTCTACAGCTAGATTCTGGCATCTAAAAAAGAAAAAGAGGCTTTAAAATGTTGTTTGGATAATACTTGGGTATTCCTGGATTCTAATAGGTCCATTAAATTGTCTCTTTCGTACCTGTTTTTACTATTCAACGACATATTTAAATCTCTGTTCTTGCTATTCAATGGAATATTTAATTTTGCAAGTTTCTAATTAATGTCCAAAATTTCATTAGCCTTCTTCATATTGTAATTTAAATTCGGGATTGCGCAATTTCATTAGAATAGACAAAGAAACGGCTCAAGGTTTCTGGTTCTGACGAGTTGACGAACAAAGAGAAAATCAAATGACTGCTCAGTGAGGAGAGCAAAATGATATGTTGGTCGAACAAAAATTTATAATTGCATCAAATCATTTCCGTAACAATTCATATTGCAGTAAAACTTTTAGCTTGAACGTTTCTGTCATCGTCCATTTATCCATCTATCTCTCTCTTTCTTTAGCTCGCTTGCTTACTCGCCTCTGCTAATGTGTGAGCGAATAAAGTGTGATATTTATTATTTGGTCAAGTCATGTGTGAATCTGCATTTGAATAAAATGTGTGAGAGACTTTACTGAAAGGGTTCAAGCTCTTAAGGAAATAGAGTCTCTGTGTGTGCGTATATTGTACATATATTGTGTGCCTGTGTGTGGTCTACTTTGTGTGTGGTGTATTTGGTGTGAGGTTTCTATCACTATGTTTAGACAGTCATGGCTTTGTTTTGACACTGGTTTATGGTTATTATTATGCCCTATACCCTGTGGAAGATTTGCAAAACAATGCTTATACTTATGTACACGAGTCCAAGCACTTACAATGGATTCTTGTTCATGATTTGCGGTGGTATAGCCATAGCCTCTGCCTATCTGTCTGTATGTATCTATCTGTTCTATATATATGTGAAGCACAACCTGCAGAAAGGCTCTCCCTCTGCAAATTCCCATAATTATTATTTGCAGGGTATCCCTTCGCCCATCATGCTCAAGCACCGTTTGCTTAATAGTTTTTTATTTTCTATTTTCTATCCACATTTTACCATCCTTGGGCTTTCCTGCTGCGTACAGATTTGCATATTCGGGACAATAGCCAACATACTAAACATAATGGTGTTGACCAGAAAGGAAATGGCCAAGGCGCCCATTAACAACATATTGAAATGGCTGGCAGTTGCTGATATGTTTGTGATGCTCGAGTACATACCCTATACGACATATCAATACATCTATATGAAGCCAGGTGGGTGAAAACGTGTTAAGGAGATTTAACGAAATGTTTGATTATAATTTTTGTATTTATTTATATATAACTATATATTTATTATACATTTACTACTCTTACAGGCGAGAAGGACTTGAGTTACGCATGGGCTGTTTACCTGCTGATCCACATGCACTTCACGCAGATTCTGCACACGATTTCTATTGGTTTGACCGTTACCTTGGCTGTTTGGCGCTACGTGGCAATCAGGTGAGTGGCAAGTGTAGCGTTGACAATGTGTGGCCCTAGCACCTCATCCCCACCCCGAACTCCTGCTGAATCCGGCTAACTGAATAATATGACGGAAAATGTGGCTTCTCTTTCTCTCTTTCTCTGTTTTCTGTCTTCTGTTCTGTTCTGTTCTGTTTTTCTGCTTTATAGCAAACTATTTCCATCTCTAATCCACAGACATCCGAATGGGAGCTGCGCCAATTTTCTGCTGGCACATTCCAGGGAGGCGATACTCTTCCCCTTCATCATCTCGCCCATTCTCTGTTTGCCTACGTACTTTGTGTTCAAGGTGCGCAAGACACACGAGATGGACACCATAGAGCACGAGCCCATGTATCATGTGTACTTCGACACGGACTCTATGCTGTTTAGGTGAGTGGAACTGAATTGGCTCAGACTGACAGCCAGATACCCTACTAAATTGCTCTCCTTCTCTGTTGACCCTTGTAGATTCAACTTTTGGATACATTCCGTGATCATTAAGCTGCTTCCCTGCTTCATTCTAACCGCCATCAGTCTCGTTCTGATGCACGTTCTGTGCGAGGCTTCGCGAAGGCGTCTCAAGCTGAAGGACTACGACAATCCCACCAAATACGCCATTCAGCTGAATCTCAATGAATCAAAGTCTAGGCGGTAAGTAAAGTTTAATTTATTATTATTTTATCAATTTACATCCAATGGCCATTTTTATATAGATTCCTTCTCTGTTCAATCTTAACATCATCTTTTTATTTCTTTCCATCATTGATACAGATTTCAGTTTCAATTTCAATTGAGCTTTATTCGTCCATTTGTAATACAAAAACGAGCATCGCCCATTTTTAAAGACACCTTTCATCCAATTTTTGATTTCTGCTTCCATTTCTTAATTCATTTTCCTGGATTTTCTCTTCATTCACCTCATTCCTTTGCTTCAACCATTTGAATACAATTGTTGACTGTCATCCTTACCTGTTCTTATGCTTTGTTTAACCTGATATGGGTTCAGCAATTGGGATGAAATTCGTCATTTTTCGTTTCGCTTTTGCCCGTTGGGTTAAGTGTGTTTAACCTTTACCTTTACCATTTCCTCAAATTTCTTTTCTATTTCGCTGGTTTACGACTTAAGTGCAGTTTTGGGTTTGCCTCAGTTAAGGTCCATTCCACTGTTTCACATTTGTCATTGTTTATATCTTTTTAGTCTTTTTACTGATTTCTATTTGCTTTCCACTGTTTCATATTCATTATATATTGTCATCTCTGTCATCTCTGCTTCTCTTTGTTTGCTTAATATATTTTATTTCACTGTTCCATCTGTAATGTAACTCTCTTCGCTGCTTCATTTTATTTGCTTCACGCTCTCCTTCCAATCGTTTTACTTCTCTCTATCTGACTTGTGTTTTGCCCTTTCTGCAGACCTCCGCGCTGTGATCGTCGCAATGATCGAACCACTCTGCTCTTGGTGGCTGTGCTGATACTCTTCCTGGTCACGGAGTTTCCGCAGGGTCTGCTGGGCCTGTTGTCGGGCGTGCTGGAGAAGTGTTTCTTCGCCCATTGCTATCCGCCCTTCGGTGAGCTGATGGATCTGCTGGCACTCATCAATGCGGCTGTGGGCTTCGTGCTCTACGGACTCATGTCCAAACAGTTTCGCACCACGTTCCGGTCTCTGTTCTTCAAGCGTCACTTCGGCAGCAGCGAGATGACGCGCCTCACTCGAGTGACCACCACCTGTGTCTAGAAGCGACTGAATAGACGCTGGTCGAGAAGTAGCTAGAGAGAGATGATGAAATTTGAAGGCATCTCAAAGATGCGCTTTGAAGTGAGCTTTGAAAAAGTTCAGCTGAAACTGTAAGCCAGGGCGTTTAGGGTATACCAAGAAACTAAGAAACTAATTTTGTAGGGCATTAAGTGGCATTTCCATTTAGCAGACACATAATACGAGTTTTCAAACGAATTTTTTAATGCAGCTTGAAATTAGATGTATCGATATACATATGTCGATTTATTGATATATATTCATATATATATATATAAATATAAATTTACTAAACTGAACTATTCATGATTCTGAGATAAGAAACGCCAGCGTTTATTAGCTTTTAAGAATTAAATACGATTTTTTATGCATACATTAAATAAAATAAATTTAAAAATTAAGAAATGCAAATTGACGAAACGAGAATTTGTATGGAGATAAATTAAAAACAAAATTATTACAAAATAATTATTAAATAGGAAGTAAAGTTGAGTTGCAAAGGTAAAAACTAAAAATAATATAAAATAAAAAAACACAAATGAAAATCAAAACTGGTTAAAGAGAACGAAGCAGCCGATGAGCCCCTTGAGCTGTTTTGTTCTTTTTCTCCATTTGAACTTTATGAAGAGAATTAAGTACACACAATTCATTAATATTATAAATATGTAAATATATATATACATATGTATACTATATAGATGTATTAAATAGATTTAATTATGAATGTAGCTTTAAGGTCGCGTGGCTAATGTATTTGCATTGGCTTCAAATCGCTCGCATTTGTTTTCACGCTTTTTGATTTCAATTTTGAACAAGTTTCAAATAAATGTTCGATGTGAGTTAATAATCTCATGTCTCTCTCTCTCTCTCTCTCTCTCTCTCTTTCTCTCTCTCTTTCTCTCTCTGTTGTGTTATCCTTTCAATTGCCAGTGCTGACCACAGCATTCACTTCTAGCGGTAGCTCATCCTGCACCACATCCCGGTTGGCTGCATCTGCGTCTCCTGCTCGCATGGAGTCGTCGCCATCGCCTAGTATACCCTGGCTGTGCGTCGAGATGCGCAGCAGCGACTTTAGTTTTGTGGCCTGGAATTTATACTGAACAAGCAGCGGGTCTTATATATTGATAGAATTGCATTAAAGCCTTTATACGAATTTAATGATTAGAAAACAATCCCTCTTTCCGTCCCTGTCGTATCAAGTAAGAAAATGACTGGGTAAGACAATTTCCACTTTGAAGATAAGAATCTATGCTTCTATGATATACCCCATCTATAATATATTAATATTTCCCTAATTTTTTAGATTATTTATCCAATCTGTAGAGCCAATTAAATGTTTTTTCGTGTTCCGATAAATTTCCAACTTTCATTTAGTTTTAATTAATTTTTAGAACTTTTTTAAATGTCAGAAGAAAAGCTACAGAAATGCGACTGGTGAGAGAAATACTTGTGGCTTGAGTTCTAAAAAAAAGGAAGAAGAATTGGAGGGAGTAGGAACAATTTGAGGTATATGAAGGTAGAAGGAGATGGTAATTAAAAGGTAATAAGCTGAAGTGAGAAGGGGGTAGGTATGAGGCAATGAAGCCCTTTAATGTAGGAGGAGGATGTGGGCAGTGAAAGATGTGGGAAGTGGTCGAGGATGAAAAGTGAAGAATGTAAGAAGTAGATGAGGATGGGAGGTGGGAGTTGGAGTTGGATAAAAGAGAGAATCAGATTAAGAATAAAACAAAATGTTCTAATCAAATGACTTGGCCAGGAGCCATTGGGCACGCTGATAGAGCACGCGACTTACTTCGGTGGGCAGCAATAAATCCTGAGCGTGGCTCATAAAGCGATTGTAGTGCTCTGTGGCCAAGGCCAGACGCCCAGTCTCAAAGCAGAAGAGCGCAAAGTTGAGGAACACCAGCGGATGTCGCATGTTGCCGCTGGCCAGGTTGCAGGCACGCTCGAGAGCCACAAACGCATTCTCCATGTCGTCCAGCTTGCGCAGGCACACTAAGAGAAAGTGAGACAGAAAGGGTATTCCCATTTCATTGACAGACTTTTTGTTGAGCACTTACAGCCCAGGAGCATATAGCACTCGGCATTGTCCTTGCGTAGGTTGATGGCTGCAGCCAGAGTGTGAAAGGCGCTCGCATATTGTTCCGCTGTTTGACGGTCGGGGAGTCACGTCAACATTAAATATTAAATACAAAGCAATAACAAAAACATAAGCTAGACTACAACAGCATCGAGGCGGGGTAGGAGAAAGGAGAAGCGGAACAACAATAAGCTGTGGCAGGCCATAAAAAGTGCAAATATTTCAAGGACCTGTCAATTGTTTTTTATGTTTCTCGTTTCCTTTATTTTTGCGTTGTTTTTGACATTTATGAAAGGTCTCTCCCAAAGGCTCATTATTTTTGTTAGGCGGCTGCTTTTATTGAGTGGGCTTGTTTCCTATGGAGGCAAAGGTCTAGGCCGCGCAGAGGGCCAGAAGGGCAGCAAAGACTTTGTTGGCTGTCCAAATATAATCAATACGAGTATTACACTAATTGTAATTTGAAGGTCGAATTCCTACGATTTTCTGCCTAACAGCTAAGGAAGGAAGCCTTCCGGGAAGGACGGAAAGAAACCTTTCAATGCAAATGTATAAATAATTATTTTGTATATAAATATAATATTAACTGTAATGTGAATGTGTTCTAAGTTTGGAAGAAGACCTATAGGCCAATAGGAAATTAATACAAATCGTATTGTGTTGAGTATTAGGGACTAACTTTGTAGGGACAATGAGTGGACGGGAAGCTGTGAAATTCGATCTGTGTTTACGGAAGGAAGACGGTGCTGTAATTATTGTATCGTTATTGTTGCAATTGATTGCCTTAATCATTTGTAGTCTCTACATTCTTATCATAGAGCTACAGGGTATTTCAATAGTCAATAGGCAATACTCACAGGCAATGTATATGAGGCTTAGATTGTAGAGCGCATTGTAGTTGAGCGGCGAGAGCCAAATCGATTTGCGTAAAGATGAAATCGCCTAGGGAACAAATCAAGTAACTCTATCTCTTTCTCTTCCTCTCTCCCTCTCTGTCTGTCTATTTGAGTGACTTTCTCTGCTTACCACAATGAACTTTTGCTTTTTGAAGAAGCACAGACCAATGTTGTTCCAGAGCTCCGCAATTTCCGGCTCGGCATCTGCTATTTGGCTGTATTTGCTCAAGGCGCCGTCCACATCGTTGCGCGACTGTCGAGGGTGCCCCAAATTGTCAAATTCAAGCGACCAGGTATTGCCAATCAACTGCTCACCTGTAAAATGGCGCCCAGGGCCAGCAAACCTTTCGGTTCGCAGTTTCCTGCGAAATTCACAATTTCAGCCAGACGATCGAACGCCCTTTGCGTTTCATTGATTTTCAAGTAGAGCACACTGATTTCTGTCAGCACTTCCGCATTCTCCGGCGTGAGACTGAAATGCAAATGAGAATGGGAATGAGAAATAATAACTAAATAGACTCGAGACTTGTGCTCACTGCAGACAAGCCTCGAGCACGTCGATGGCCTTCTGGTAGTCCTTCTCCTTGCGATAGAGCTCGGCCAGTCGAATGTAGCTCTCCTGTTTCTTGCCCGATTGCACGGCCCGCTCGAAGTACTCCCGCGCCTCCTTCTGCTGCTGTCGCGCTGCCTCCAGTTGGGGCTGTGTGGCGGCTGAGCGATAGAGCAGCTCGCCCAGGTAATGAAAGATTTCGTGATCCGGGCGAGGACTCTGCTGCTCGGCATCCCGAAATACGCTGAGTGCTTGACTGTAGCGACCCATCAAGTAGCTGGACAAAGAGGGGATGTTAGAGAAAAGTTTCATAAGTGTATGGTCTCATAAATGAGAGCACTGTTTAACAAAATTGAAGCTTATCCTGCATTAAATGATTACGTTGTTTTTACAATGAATGCTTAAATTAAGGTCAAGTATTGCCAAGCGTCTGAATGAACTCCTTTCTTCTTTCTACTTTATCTTATTTGGTCTAAGCTCAAGTCTGCACTGAAATGCATAGCCATGTTGGCCAGTGTGGTTGACCTACAGAGTCCTTCCGATTTCCTTAATGTTCTCAATATTTTTGGAGTTCAGCTCGGCTGCCCTTTGAAGGTTGCGCAGCGCCTCGATGTTATTGCCAGCTTCGCGGTCAATTAGGCCCTGGGGTGGATCAACGTGAGTGAATAGTTCAATGTAATTTCGGTCGGATTCAGGCACTCACCTGCACAAAGTACAGGTACTCCGCATTCAAATGACGATTCAGCTCACGCGCGATGAGTCGGCGGCATCTGTCGAATTGGCGGCGTGTGAAATAAATGTGAAGCAGCCAATCGATGTTTGCGTCTGTTGGCATTTTGGGCGCTAATTGAAGATTGTCATCAACAGATTGTCCTCTCTCTCTCTTTCTAGCACTCTCACCTGGTTTTACTACCTGCAGCGAGGGCAGTTCTATGAGAGCGCCGTTGCAATTGATTTGCTCACTGCCCGCTTCGTACATCTGATTTCAGTTTGGCTGGGCTCCAAAAACAGAGTTTTATTTGATTTACGCTCATATGTTGTGTTGTGCCTTTTGCAGGTTGCCATGGCTCTGTCTAGGGTTGCCACGCTTGGATAACAAGAAAACTGTAAACTCTATTAAGGTCTACAAGAAAAGCTTCTCAAGTTTCTAAAAGTTGGAATTTTGTTGTGTTCCATTTGTGGTTGCCATGGTTCACCCTAGGTTTTCCACCACTCGCCAACAGAAAAACTCTAGTTTTAGGGCTGTCATCTTTGTCGAAAACAATGCATAACAATTTTTGCCTTGGCTCAGTTTTTCTTTAAGGCTTTTTATAGCCTTTTCTGACTTTGATTTGTCATCGAATTCACCTGACAAATTAATTAATGCACGTGTTTTTGTGTCTTTGAGCCCGATCAGTTGTAAAAAAGTCTCGAAAAGGCCTTTTCAGCCAAATGTCCGAATTTTTAATTAGTGTTGAGCCAAAAAGCGCCGATGCCAATTGAAATGCAATAAAATCAACGACAA